ATTCCGTCTGACTGGGAGTAACCTTAACTCCTCTGTTAGCAAGCATATGTGTTAAAAGATCAATACAGAGTCTTTTTTCTTTAGACTCAGTATGGCACATCTTCTTAATCTAAAGATCAATACAGAGTCTTCTTTCTTTGGACTCAGTATGGCACATCTTCTCAATCTAAGTTCTGTACTATCCAGTGTATCTGTTGTCCAACAATAGTATCTGTTGTCCAACCCCAACAGGTCCATGGGTCCCCAAAGGTGTGGACGGAGTTGGTGAAGAAGGAATGACACGGAGGCAGTGTTCAGTTGATCAGCAGCCTAGCCAGGATCTCTAGCCAGGATCTCTGGCCAAGTTCTGGTGCCATGTTCTCGCGCTAGGTTCTCCAGGTTCTCCAGCCAGGGTCTCCAGCCAGGTTCTATCCAGGTTCTCCCGCCATGTTCTGTCTAGGTTCTCCAGCCAAGTTCTATAGCCAGGTTCTGTCCAGGATCTTTTGCCATGTTCTCTCCCTAGGTTCTGTCTCTAGGTTCTGTCTCTTATTGATTTTTTAATTTGATTTTAAAAAGAGAGAAACACTGATGTGAGAGAGAAAAGTTGATCAGTTGCACCTGGCCCAGGAATGAACCTGCAACCTAGGTATGTGTGCGCCCAGACTGGGAACTGAGCCCGCAACCTTTTGGCATAAGGGACAATGCTCCAAACAGCAAAGCCACCTGGCCAGGGATGTAATATTATTTGTTAGGTAACATTTGCCAGTCAACCCAACTTTAAAAGATTGGAGGGTACTTTTAATGATAATTGCTAAATGAGTTTTGGTAAAAATTCTAAATTCCTCATGAGAAGTATTTACAGAGAACCCTATTTCTGAGGTCTGGCTGTCAACTATATCCTGTTTCCAATTCGTCTCTTCCCCAGGGGCCCTCGTGCCAGGAAAGCCCAGCACCCGCAAGCCACTGCGGCCAGGACTCACCAGGTAGGCTCTCCAGAAGGACTGGATGCTCAGTGCCGCCTCCTCTTCGGTCAGCAGCAGGGACAGTGGGATGGGCGGCCGCGGGCTGGAAAGCAAGAAGAGGGCCATGTGCCCATGAGAACATCCTTCCGCTTCAGCAAGGCCTTTGACAGTATAGTGGCCTCACTGAGCAAGTGCCTCATCCATTCCCCTTCTTAGAAAGCAGCATGTCACTACTGATAGAAAAGCTTAGACTTGAATTAGCATGTTTTTTATCTCAATCAGCATAATCTTAAACCACTGCTAGCCTGCTCTGTTTCGTAGGACTGAGGTTGGTGAAGGTGCAGATTTGTCCTGAAGGCGCAACACACGTTATTGACATGAGTCCATGGAGACAGAGCCCGAGACAGAGCAGAAGGGCCTTCACACACTGCATTGTGACTGACACATAATAAAGGGCTCTTCCCCTAACTTTCTATAGAAGGGAAATTAAGGAACCTATTTCCTAAAAGCAAAATGTTGGAATTTATCTCTGATCAGTGTATATTCCAGTTTAATGTGGCATAAATTCAAGAATATATGTAATTTCTACTACATCTTTTTAAAAATATTTTTATTAATTTCAGACAGGAAGGGAGAGGGAGAGAGAGAAAAACATCAATGATGAGAGAGAATCATTGATCGGCTCCCTCCTGCGTGCCCCCCTGATTGAGATTGCAGCCTGGGCGTGTGCCCTGATTGGCAACTGAACCATGACCTCCTCATTCATAGGTCAACACTCAACCACTGAACCATGCCACCTGGGCAGCCATGGTTTTTAAATATGGGACTTATGATCAAGAATCACACCCCAATCTGAAAAATCCAATAGCAGATACTGTCAACTGACCCAACACTTGAGACTTTTCATTGCTTATTAAGATACTAGAGCCCTAACTAGTTTGGCTCAGTGGATAGAGCATCGGCCTGCAGTGATGGCGAACCTATGACACGCATGTCAGAGGTGACACGCGAACTCATTTTTTTTGGTTGATTTTTCTTTGTTAAATGGCATTTAAATATATAAAATAAATATCAAAAATATAAACCTTTGTTTTACTATGGTTGCAAATATCAAAAAAATTTCTATATGTGACACAGCACCAGAGTTAAGTTAGGGTCTTTCAAAATGCTGACACGCCGAGCTCAAAAGGTTTGCCATCACTGGCCTAGAGGCTTAGTGCATGAAATTCATGCATGGGTGGGGTCCCTAGGCCTGGCCAGCAATCAGGGCCTATCGGGGCCATCTTGCCCAGTCCTGATTGAGGCCGGGCCAGCTGGGGCCTGCTGGATTTGGGGAGGGACCAGGGGAAGTTGGCTGGCTGTGGGATGTTGGCTGTGGGAGCGCACTGACCACTAGGGGACAGCTCCTGCATTGAGCGTCTGCCCCCTGGTGGTCAGTGCGCATCATAGCAATTGATCGACCAGTCGTTAGTTCTTAATGGTCGCTTAGGCTTTTCTGTGTATACTATAGGCCCGTTGCAGGAAGATTCCTGCAAGAATAGGGCTTCCTGCAGCTGAAGCGAAGCAGAGAAGGGAGTGAAACCCACCGAGGTGGGCTTCGCTC